ATTTGATTGCTTCTTCAGAACCCCATTTCCAAGTAAGAGTGCATTAACAGACTCCAGGGAGACATAAATTGTGGGTAGAAGCACTATTCAGATCAGTATGAAATTTCACAGATTCCCTGACATAAGTTAAACAGTATGAATTCTAAAAGAGAGAAATGGTGAAGATGCTAATGTTTATTGTTTTAAATAGGGAGTTGTGTATGTGTATGTGTGTAGTGTCTGGCATGGAATCCAGAGCCTCATACATGCAAGTCAAGTGTACATATAAGACAAATGCAAATGCATGCAAGATGTTTAGCTTTATAACCAAAAGGACAGAGAGAACAAAAGGTAATGCCCTGCCAGAAAGGCAGGGTGGGATGGGGGGGATGGGGGTGGGAGGGATACTGGGATCAGTGGTGGTGGAGAATGGGCACTGGTGGAGGGATGGGTACTCGATCATTGTATAACTGAAACCCAAGCACAAAAATTTGTCAGTCTACAACTGTACCTCATGGTGTATCACTAATAAATTTTTTTCAAAAAGATGTTTAGCTTTATACTTAACTAAGCATCTTGAACATATTACTTTTGGGATTACAGTATAATTATAAAAAATTATATATTTTTTATTTCCTTATCTCTTATAGACTCAGAGACTATAAAATCCAGTTCCCGGAACTGCGACATCTTTTTATGACATCTTATTATCTCATTATTTATGACATCTTATTATCTCATTATTTATGACATCTTATCATTTCATTCCTACTTTGGACAAACTTGCAGGCTATCAAATGTAGCCTGCCCACAGGGCAGAGTCTGGCAAACTCCCTGTGGCGTACCAAATATGCCAAATACCAGTAACAATAATGGGTCTCATTCTCCTAAAGAGCCTTGAATATAATCTCAGGGCTAGGATGAAAGAGACATTACTGGGGCCTGCTCGAGGCAATCGACGAATAACAGGATGATGAATGAATGAATGAATTTCCTTATCTCTGTTGTCAGAATGTCCTCACATATGGTAATACCAAACCAAACCTTCAGTTTAACTGATCCCCAGAACTGAAAAAAAAAAAAGATTCCCCTTAGATATGGCATCAAAAGCATGAGCATATGTAGCATTCAAGCCAACATCCTGGAACCCATTTAGAAATAAATTTCTATACCTGCTATGCAAAACTCAGTTGTCATAACCAGTTTCTAGGAACTGGCAAGCATGCCAAGGGAAGGAAAATTGCATCCATTTGAGAACCAGAGTCTATAGATATAAGAGGAAAGGGAAAGGGAAAGTACTTTGCCCGGATGATAAAGCACTCAGAACATGAAATGACTGGACTAAATGTATAGCTTGCTATAGATAGCAAGATCCTGTGAGTCACACACAGCCTTCAAACAGATCAGCTAAACTTATGTTAGATTTTGAAAAAGTGGGTTATTGGGCAATTGGAGAACTTCTGTCGGTCCTGAAATCACTTGTAGAAATAATAATTTGGAGAGACTTGTTCATTGATTGGCAATCAGAGAAGTGCTCATTGAAACGAGTCCTTTGGTAATGGCTGGTTCAAAGGGTTCATGGTTGATTGAGCTTAGAAAAATGTGTTCACTGGGGGTGATTTGTCATTGACTGAACTTAGAATTGGCTTATTTCTGGAAGTTATTATGGGAATATAAGAACCAAAAAAAAAAAGATCCTTAGTAACTTTTTAGTATCAATATTTCAAACTACAATGCTCAGAAGGAGAGACAGAGACAGAGAAGAAAAGCGCTTGCCATGGAGACAGGCTGGGAAGTAATGGGAGGGCACTGGGAAATGTACACTGGTGGAGAGGTGGATTCTGGAATACTGTATGGCTGAAACCTAAACGCAATCAAGACTAGGCTTGTAAAGGTCTATCTCACAGTGATTCAATAAAAAAAAGTAAAAAAAAAAAGTTTAGTATTCTATATGCTACTGGATTGATGTGGTGTCAATTTGTGAGAGTTCTCTTTTGATTGCTTGATTTTTTTTTTTTTTTTGCTGTTTGGGTCACACCCGGAGATATACAGGGGTTATTCCTGTCCTGTGCACTCAGGAATTACTCCTGGCGGTGCTCAGGGGACCATATGGGATGCTGGGAATCAAACCCAGGTCGGCCACATGCAAGGCAAATGCCCTACCCACTGTGCTATTGCTCCAGCCCCTTGATTTTTTTTAATTTAGTAGAAAACAAGGTAGTCAGGACCTTCTGTTTGTTGCTCTGCCATTCCAGTGAGGTTTGCCTCCAGCTGACATCACTGACATGACTACTCTGGAGTGGGAGACAGAGCCCGTCCTTCCCAGCTAGGTTCCAGCAGCCTCCATACCTGACTTAAGCCATATAAACAGACCCACACTACAGCTCCTGAAGCACATGACCTGTCATGTAGCCACATGATACATCTACTAAACAAATTACATGCTACTCACTGTTGTTCTCCTATCATTTGGTGAAGATGGGCAAAGAAGAAAGAGAGCAACCCCAGGCTAATCCTTTAGCATCTTCCAGTGGTGGGGGTGTATAACTACAAAAACTCACCCCCAGAACAGCAAGAATACTAGAAAACAAATGGGGAAAGCATGTAGAAGCCCACCAAGTTTAATGAGTGAAAATTACATTGCTGAAGACAGAAACAACACCAATCAGCTCAGTAAATCCTCAGACAATGTCTTTAGTGACACCATGATAAGGGTGTTCAATGAGTTCAAAGAAATGACAGTACAAGTAGTGGGCAAAGCACACAAAGCTTTGTGCTTTTTTTTTCTTTTTGGGTCACACCTGATGATGCACAGGGGTTCCTCCTGGCTCTGCACTCAGGAATTACTCCTGGCGGTGCTCAGGGGACAATATGGGATGCTGGGAATCGAACCCGGGTTGACCACATGCAAGGCAAACAACCCACTGTACTATTGTTCCAGCTCCTTTGTGGGTTTTTTTTTGTTTTGCTTTTTGGGTCACACCTGGCGATGTACAGGGGTTACTCCTGGCTTTGCACTCAGGAATTACTCCTAGAAGTGCTCAGGGGACCATGTGGGATGCTGGGAATCGAACCCAGGTTGGCCACGTGCAAGGCAAATGCCCTACACGCTGTGCTATCACTCCAGCCCCCACTTTGTGCTTTTTTTAAAATAAATTTAATTTAAAAAAATTTAGAAAGCTGTTGCAATCATAAATGGCAGAAAAGCAGATCACAGGAAGTTGATAATTTAAAAAGTTTACAAAAGCTCTGAATAACAGAAGCTGAGTTCTAAGATAAGGAGGAAACCGCTAGGAAACAACAGAAGGTGGCAAACAGCCTGAAAATAAATGAAGAGCACACCAGAGAACTATGGGATGAGTTCTAGAGAAACAATATAAAAATCATCAGAGTCCCTGAAGGACAAAAGGGCAAAAGTGATAAAGAAACAACAATGAAACACAGACAAGAATCACTCAGAGTTGGGCCAGAGAGATAGTATAGTGGGTAGGGCTTACCTTGCACACAGCTGACCAGGCACCACATATATTCTCTGAGCAGCCCCAGGAGTGATCCCTGAGCATAGAGTCAGAAGTTAGCTCTGAGCACTGCCATGTATGGCCCAAAAAATAAAAATAAGCAACAAAAAAAACTCAAGATGGTCTTTAGCAAGTGAGGACTTAGTTACTTTTTAGTTTGATGATGCCAGGGATAGAATCCAGGTCCTCAAACTTGCCAGGCAGGTGCTCTACCACTGAGGACATCCCTGTCCCATTAAGTAAGGTCTTTAAGAGACCATAATCATAGGGGCTGGAGAGACAGTAAAGGGTTAAGACACTTGCCTTGCACATGGATGACCCTGATTTGATTCCTCACACACCATATGGTCCCTGAGTCTGCCAGGAGAGACCTCTGAGCATAAAACCAGGAGTAAGCCTGAACACCGGGTGTGTGTGTGTGTGTGTGTGTGTGTGTGTGTGTGGTCTAAAACAAAAAACAAACAAAACAAAACATTCAGAACTATGGGAAAATGCACTTGTTTGGTGACTCTACCCTAAACTACATCCCTTTTGTTCACAGCCAACCAGTGTCAAAAGGACACACTCAAGTATTTGTCAGACAAAAAACGGAATGATCAGTCACATCAGATGTCATGGGCTGTGAAGCCCTCCTATACCATGAGTGACAGTTGCCATTTCCTCACTTCTAAAAAAGATAGAACTGGGGTCAGAGAGATTATGTAGAGGGTAGCGCCCTGCATGTGGCTGACCTGGGTTTGATCCCATTCCATACAGTGCTTTGAGTATAGCCAGGAATGATTTCTGAGTATAGAGCTGAGAGTAAGCCCTGAGTATCAGTAAAACACTGATGGTTGGAAGGATCACTTTGGATGGGAAATGTGTGCTGGAAGCGGGGTAAAGGATCAAATATGATGGCCTCTCAGTATGAGAAAGAGAGGAGAGAGAGAGAGAGAGAGAGAGAGAGAGAGAGAGAGAGAGAGAGAGAGAAGTGCCTGTCATAGAGATGGGGTGGGATGGCAGGTGGGCTAAAGGGGATATTGGTGGTGGAAAATGTACACTGGTGGAGGGATGGGTGTTGTGGGAACATTATATGACTAAAACCCAATCATGAAAGCTTTTTAACTGTATCTCACGGTGACTAAAAAAAAATAATAAAATTAATATAGAATAATGATAATAATGAAGCTAGAACTGAGAAAGGCCACATGCATTCATTATAGAAGCCTGATAACACTATAAGGCTTCTGGTGGGCCCCCCATCACTGAAGCATTGGGAACGCTTTGCAGCCTCCGCTTGGTACCAGCCCCCAGCCCGCAGCTCCAGACGCTTCACGTAGGTTCCCAGCAAGAGTGGGCGCGGGGAGATCGCGCGCGGCCCGCCGGCCAAATCACGCGAGACCGCTTCCCCCTTTCCCACTCCCCCTCCCCTTCCCCCCTCCTCTTCCCCCTCCCTCCCCTCTCCCCCTCCTCCCCCCGCGCGAGGCGCTCAACCGCCCAGAACGGAAGTTCCTGAGCCGCCCGGGCCGCGGGGGGAAGCGAGTCGGCAGCGGACCAAGATGGCGGCGCCCACGGAGGGGCTCGCGTTCGCCTCAGGGGTGGAAAAGACTTGGGGCGCGCTGGTTCGCTCCCCAGAAGGAACGCCCCAGAAAGTCCGGCAGCTGATCGATGAAGGCATCGTCCCGGAAGAGGGGGCGGCGGAAACGTGAGTGGGCGAGGCGGGGAGCGGGGCCGGGGCTGTTTTCCCCCTCTCAGGCCCGGGCTGGGGTCGCCTCAGACAGGCCAGCGCGCGTGTGGACATGGGTGTGTGTGGGGGGGGGGGTAGGGGGCTTCTTCCCGGACCCTGTAAGACGCGGGGGGGCGTTGGGCAGAAACAGCGAGAAACTGGTGGTACCCCCATTGATTCGGTATTTGGATCCACTTGGGGGACGTCGAACCGAAATCGGCTTTGACGTGGCGGGATTTCGCCTCACGACAGGTGCGGGAGGAAGAAAAAGGAGGAAAAAAGAAAGAAAAGGAAAAAAAAAACCCGCCGACTGCACCGCTGACTTCTGAGTTTCTTACTTAATAATTAGCCTTGGGCCGCCTGGCCAGGTCGAGGGAACGCCCTCTCGATAATAATCTCTCCAAGGGCAGTTACTATAAAATGACTGCCGTAGACCTGGAAGGGGAACCAGTTCCATGGGGGGTGCAGTTATCGAGCTAGGGGAAGATTAAAAAGCAATGTCCTCACAAGTTTGATTGTTAAAAAAAAAAAAAGTTACGTGCCTAGCCGCAGGTCCGTTATTTGCCATGACTTTGATGTCGTTATGGCTAAAATGGACTTAAAAATGGGTCTAAAAGTAGGTATATCGAGCACAACAGGGTACTAAATACCAGTGGTTTCCAGGGGTGACAAAAATGATAGATTCTGCCGAGTTTTAAAAATCACCTTTAATTCAGAGGGCGGGGGATACACAGTACAGTGGGTTGGGCTCTTGCCTTTCCCTGTGGCCAACTGAGATGGGCCCTCCCTCCCTCCAGCATTTCCAGGTGGAACCCCTGAGCATCACAGTGTGTCCCAAAAACAAACAACAAAACAAAACGAAAACACTTTTTTTTTTTTACATTTAAAGTTTTTTTTTTTTTAATTTTTGGGTCACACCTGGCGATGCTCAGGGGTTACTCCTGGCTCTGCACTCAGGAATTACACCTGGTGGTGCTCAGGGGACCATATGGGATGCTGGGAATCGAACCCTGGTTGGCCGTGTGCAAGGCAAACGCCCTACCTGCTGTGACGTCACTCCAGCCCCGATTGAAGGAAATTCTTTTCGGCCAGAGTAAGTTAGTAAAGGAAATAGTGTTTTACCCCCTTCCAAGTTGGGAGCCTCCAGTTTTTTCTAAAAGCTACATTTGCCTGAGATTCGCTGTGATTTCTTTATGGGAGATTCCTAGGCTGGAGCCATAGCACAGCGGTAGGGCGTTTGCCTTACAAGCGGCCAACATGGCCGACCCGAGTTCGATTCCTCCGCCCCTCTCGGAGAGCCCGGCAAGCTACCGAGAGTATTCGATATGCCAGACACAGTAACAACAAAGTCTCCAATGGAGACGTTACTGGGCCCGCTCGAGCAAATCGACGATCAACGGGAGGGCCTTTACCTTTTACCTTACTTTGACATAGTTGGTCCCGTCCCATTTATTACCGAAATTGTCACTTGACTCCAGCCGCTTCTCCTCTTTTCTCTCTCCCCGCTAGACACTTTCATTGAAAATGAGAGAATTGTTGTACTGAAGTTTTGGGGTTTTTGCATATTTGTGCCGCACCTACCAGTCCTCAGGGCTTATTCCTGGCTCTGCCCTAAGGGATCACTCCTACTGGGGCTCAGGGAATGGTAAGGGTTGCCAGGAAACCAAACCCAGGTCGAGGAGGCTGAGAGATAGTACAGCAGGTAGGGTACGCATGGCCAACCCGGAATCCATCCCCAGCGTCCCATATAGTTCCCTTGAGCACCATCAGGAATAATTCCTGAGTGCAGAGCCAGGAGTAACCCTTGAGCATCGCTTGGTGTGGCCCCAAAACAAAAACAGACCTGGATCAATTGACTGCAAGTCAATTTTTTTTTTCTTTTTGGGTCACACCTGGTGATGCACAGGGGTTACTCCTGACTCTATACTCAGGGTACTCAGGAGTTACTCCTCCTGGCGGTGCTCAGGGGACCATATGCGATGCTGGGAATCAAACCCGGGTCGGCCGCATGCAAGGCAAACGCCCCACCCGCTGTGCTATCTCTCCAGCCCCTGCAAGTCAAATTTCTTAACTCCTGTACTATCTCCCTGGTCCTGCACTGAATTTCTTTATGTGAAAAAAAATTTGTTCATAAAATCTAAAGATATTTGAGGCTTTTATTGTGGGATGGAGAAGGGGTGTTGGGTCACATCCAGCTTTGTTCAGGGCTTACTCCTGGCTCTTTGCTCAGGGATCACTCCTGGAGGTGCTAGGGGAGCCCTGTGAACCTGAAAATAAAGCTGGAGTCAGCTGCATGCAGGTCAAGTGCCTTGACTCCTGTATGTTCTCTTTAGCCCCTGATTTGAATTTTCTACTTAGATCTTTGCCAGGGGATGGGCACAAGGGTCAAACCAGATAGAAATATCAAAGTATTGTTTCTCTTTCTGAATCAAATTTCTTGTTGGTTCAAATTCTATAATATAGAGAAGGCTTCAATAGAAAGACTTCTTTTCTATTCATTTAAGTTACACAAATATATTTGCAAGGACAGTGTATAAACTTGAACCATTTGCCAGTGTAGATTTAGTGGAACTCTGCTGAAGTAGAAATTTCTTGAGATCTAAGTAGGGTAAAATTGTAAAGAGATTTGAATGGCAGACTAAAGAACTGTGATTTAGGTATTGAAAAGATAGTACAGCGGTCAGGGCACTTGCCTTGAGTGCAGCCGACCCTGGTTCTATCCTTGGCACCCAAGCCTGCCAGGAGTGATCCCCTGATTTTTAAATTATTTTTTAAAATTTTGATATATTTATTTATTGCTTTTTGGGCTGCACCCAGCTATGCTTAGGGGCTACTCCTGGTTCTGCACTCCGGAATTACTCCTGGCGGTGCTTGAGGACCATATGGGATGCCGGAGATCAAACCCGGGTCGGCTATGTGCAAGGCAAACACCCTGTCCACTGTACGATCACCCCGTGAGCCCCTGATTTTAAAACCAGAGTAAGCCCTAAACACAACTCCATATGGTCCTAAAACAAAACGAAACAAAAAACTGCTTCAATTTAGAAAGAACTGTGAAAGCATGGAAATGTTAAGAGGAATGCTGTGCCTGAAAATGACTCAGACCAATGAAAATCTTCTGTGATCTGTGATGTGATTAGTGAAGCTCCATACAGCATATCTAGTGATGCCATAAAAGGATGACCCTTCTGTTTTAGGAAAGACCCTTCTGCCACGCTGCAGTCAGTCAATGGATCACCCCAGGAAGAACAACCTCCTTTGGAGTCAACAAAGAAAGAAGCCTTCTTTAGTAGAGTGGAAACATTTTCTATATCCTTTTTCAGTTCCTGTGACTTGTGCTTTCAACTTGTTACTGACAGTTTTATTTTCCAGGGTATTATATCTCTTACTCTGATGTGTTAAATTTAAGAATTAAGTTTGGTAATAAATTATTAGTAGTATTAGACTCATTTTACAGAAGAGGAAACAGTTTTAAGTGTGTGAGCAAATGGATTCTGTAGACTTACAACGCAAGGTCCACCTGGTAGCCAGGATTATAGCTTAAGGCTCAACCTGGACATCTTCCTATTTTGGGGGATATTTCCTGTTTCTGTCTCTTTCTAGATATTCTTCTGTGTAGTTAATTATCTGTTGTTGCAAAACAAATTGCACTAAAGTAGACTGGTTTAAGATAGCACTACTTTTTTCCCCCGTTCTGTGACTTAATGTGCAGGGCCGGCTCAGATGAGGCAGGATCTCTTCTGGGTTAGTCATCGCACCAGTTGGGGCTCTTCTCTGGAAGATTTTTCTCCCAAGCTCAGGCAGGCTGTGGTTGCTGGGTGAGGGCCTCAGTTCTGCGTAGGATGGGGTGTCCACCCGGCACCTGCCTCGGTTTCTTGCTCCATGGGCACTTCCACGGGGACAGTTCCCACCATGGCAGTGGGCTTCCATCAGAGACTACAAGACAGACAGAAAGGGTTCCTTTTGTGGATGGTTGGTTGTTGTGATTTTTTTTTTTTGGTTTGGGGACCACACCTGGTAATGGTCAGGATTTCCTCTTGGCTCTGCACTCACAGATCACAGCAAGCAGCGCCTAGGGGGCCTTTGGGGATACCGAGGGTTGGACCTAGTAGGCCACATGCAAGGTAAGGCAAGCTTCCTACCTGCTGTATGGAGAGATATCTCCATCCCCTCCTTTTGTTTCCCCTGTACACACACCCAATGGTACTCAGCTGCTCAAGTCATTGCTCAGGGATTGCTCCAGGTGATGCTTTGGGCACTTGGCTGTTCTGGGAGTCAAACCTAGGCCTCCAGCACAAAAAGCATGTGTGCTTAAGCTTTGAGCTCTCTCCCCCTCCCCTAGAATGACTCTTAATACCCTAATCACAGCAGGGAAATTCTATCACTGCTGCCATTTTTCTGTACCCAAGAGTGATTTTTCAGAAAAATTAAAACAATTGCAGACTTACAGAAAATTTACACCGGCTGCAAAGAACTTCCCTTCTGAGCTATTTGAAAGTGAGTTGCCTACATGGTATCTCATTGTTCCCAAATATTTCTTCCCTGCAACTTTTTCTTTCATGACCATAATGCAGTCATCAACATGAACTTTGTGCAGTAGCCACCCTCTAGCCCTCAGATTCCAGTCCTTTGTACTGACAGTTTTCTTTGAAACAAACGTGTCTAATTGAGAATCTTCCCTTTTTTTTCCCTTAAATTTCCTAATCTTGATACTTTCAAGGATTGCAAGTTAGTAATTTTGCAGTTGTCTGATATTTTCGTTAAATGAGATTCTGATGATAAGGGTTATCAAGGAAGTGGTGCTGGTTTCCATTTGGGCCCATTGGGAACACATGGCTTTGATTTAGCTTTTCCTGGCAATAAATAATCACTTGGCTGAGGGGATGTTTCTGTGCCTTTTCTACTGAAAAGACACTCTTTCCTCTTTCATAATTCAAGTTCTTTTCTGGGGCTAGGGAGATTGCCCAGGAGTTGGAGTGCATTCACAAGGTTCCTCCTTTGTGCCACATGGACAGGCACTGCCCAGGTGTGGCCGTGCTGAGCCCCAGCACTTTCTCAGCCTACATCTGGTTAGAGCTATTAATACTCTGGCCCAGCAGTTCCAGGAATGGTGCCCATGGTCCCTGTGGGCATGCTGGGGACACTCCCCTCTGCCCACACATAAAGGTTTATGTGTACCGCCCATGAGAAGTTCTTCGTCATCCAGCCCCCTCCATGTACTTCAGGGACTTCCTGCTTACCATCATCTTTAATAAAATTAAAGTTGCTTATTTATTCATGTGATTTATTACATGAATTATTTATGAATTATAATTGATTTCATTTGTATCAGCATGGACTTCTAATTTCCTTTTTGAGTGGGGAAGGACACACAATGCTCAGGGGTTATTCCTGTCTCTGCTCAGTAATTACTCCTCGCAGAGCTCAGGGGACTGGGAGTCAACTCAGGTTGGGTGCATGAAAGACAAGTTATCCTACCCACTATGCCTAATTTCCTTTTTTATCCAATAAGTGATGGTGTCAGTAATCCATTTTGTGTGTGTGTGTGTGTGTGTGTGTGTGTGTTGTTTGTTTTGTTTTGGGACTACAATTGACCTCTTGCTCCAGGGCTTGCTCCTGGTTCTATGCTCAGGGTTCACTCCTGGCAGTTCGGGAGCCATATATGGATACCAGGGACTGAATGTGGGTTGGCAGCATGCAAGGCAAATGCCTTATCCACTGTACTTAGTATCTTTTCAGCCCTACTGGTTTGTACATTGTTGTTGTTGTTGATTTTGATTTTGGAGCCACACCTGTCAATATTTAGGGCCCACTCCTGCCTCTGGCTCAGGAATCACTCCTGGTGGGCTTGGCAGCCTATTAGAGGTCCCAGGGATTGAACCCGGGTTGGCTGCATGCCACTCTGTCCCCTCTCCCCCTACCCCCACTTTTACTTTTATTACATGGGCCATTTCCAGCTATGCCATGGGACAGTGTGGAACTGGGTTCGGTGCTCTGGTTTGGCAGTGTTCAGGGAACATAGGTCTATACCAGCCCAGCTGGGGGTAGGGATTGAACACAGGGCCAGGCCTCTGAGGGCCCCACATTGTTTTACTGTTGCCTCATCATTGTAATACACTAGCAGCATCGTTCTTCTTAACTTGAACACTCCTTGAAATGGGCAGGGAAGCCCCTCGAGCTGTCTCCACTTGTCTGTGCCAGATACGGCTGGGTCACAGTTGAATGTGACATGCTCAAGTGTTCCAGCTGTCAAGCTTTTCTCTGTGCCAGTTTACAGCCAGCTTTTGATTTTGACCGATGTAAGTATAAAGTAGAAATGATAACTTTCTCCAGATTCAAAGATACATTACACTAGGGGGTGGATAGTTGGGGCTGTACCCAACAGTGCTCAAGGACTACTACCAATTCTGTGCTCAGGGGTAGCTTCCAGCAGTGCTTGGGGGCCATGTGGTACCTACAGTCAAACCATAGCAGAGCAGATGCTCCATGTGCTGAGCTATTTCTCTGACCCCCCCCCCCCCCCCATATTTACTTATTTGTTGTTTGGTTCACACCCAGTGGTGCTCAGGACTGACTCCTGACTCTGCTGTCAGGGATCATTCCTGGCAGTGCTCAGGAGACCATATGTGATGCTGGGGATTGAACCTGGGTCAGCCATGTGCAAGGCTAACATCCTACCCACTGCTCTATCACTTTGGCCCCATACATTTTTAATAACTTTTATCTAAATTAATTAAACTGATTTACAAAGTTATTGATGGTTGAGTTTTAGGCATACAATATTTCAACACTAATCCCACCACCAGTGTCAACTTCCCTCACTAGTGTTCCCATACTCCACGCCCCACCCCCATCTGCTTTCAGTGTTTTTGAACTGTGTTTTGGATATATAGCTATACTGCTCTTCCACATCACCAGTATAACTGAAGCCCAGATCCCTGTTCCCGCATTACTTACTCTTCTTCTTCCCCCCCAGATTCTTCTCTGTTCTTCTCTTCTCTAAACACTGGGGTCCAGGATGATCTAGCATCCCCCTTTAGTACAATACATTTCCTCATAAATAAAGGGAATTCTTTTGTTTTTCGTTTTTGGGTGACACTCAGCTGTGTTCAGGTCTTACTCCTGGCTCTGGGCTCATGCTGGCCAGACTCTGGGGAGCCCAACTGTTGCTGGGGTTGAACCCAGGTGGTCTGAGTGAAAGGCAGGTACCTTACACTGTACTATCACCGCCCAAAAAGACAGTTCTTTGAAATGTCCGGCCTAACAACATACACTTTATTGCTTTTGTGACTCATCTCAGGATCCTTATTTAGAACTTGTTTTTTGGAAAATATGAGGCAGTTACTGTTTTCATGTCTTCTTAATTTATTTTTTATTTTTAGTTGTATCTGTACGTTAAAAGACTCTGGGCCATTTGTGACTTGTGTTTTGAAGCCTTGTTCCCTTTGTGGGTTTCAGATAAAGAGCGCTGTGCCGAGCTGAAGAAGGCCTTGTGTACTGCCCATGAGAAGTTCTGCTTCTGGCCAGACAGCCCTTCTCCAGGTACTGGCCTCAGAGACTGCCTGCTTCCCCTCTCTTCCTGATTCCTATAATCTTCATTTCTGATATATATATATATATTTTTATACTATGTGAAAAATCTAGTCTTTGAAGTTTCTCTTTCTTCCTTTCAATGTGTGCCTTTTAAGAAAAATTGAGCTTCCTTATGACATGTAATGGCATATGACATGTCAGTCACTTAGCCATATATACTTGGTGGATTTAACCCTCACAAAAGCCCTGGGAAATAGGCATTCTCCAGCCAGTTTTTTAAGTGAAGAAACTGAAAATCAGAGGTCTCATAACTAGTTAGTGAGATGTGGGTTCAAAACTGTGGGTATGCGATGCATGTGTTCGGTGGTTGAGAACTGCCTCCCCAAGCCAGCCAAAGGCGACAGGAGAACGAGGGAATGAAGGAATGGGGCCATAGGCTGGTTGGTAATCAGTGACCATTTCTTTTTCTTCTTCTCTTTTACAGCATAGTTATATAGAAATGAAGGGTGGGGGTACACATAGGTGGAGTTGAACATTATCATAACAATAAACAGATTTGTAAAGGCCCTCCTGAAGGGGAAGTTCTTCTAAGAGATTAACTCAGGGACAAAATCTCATCTGGGGGTTCAGCACTCTACTAGGAGATCTCAAGGGTAGGATTCCAACCAGGATGTATTGCTTTTTTTCCGTTCCTTAGCTAGTAATCCATTTATTTCTAGTCATTTTGTATGAACATAGCAGGTTGGCTCTTCCTGAGAACATCTCACTGTATATCCCAGACTACAGTCCTCAGGCCAGGTTAGTCTTTCCTAACCCCAGCAGAGTCCTTATTCAGTTACTTCTTTTTGGGTCATGAGAGACTTTGTTTCATGACCGTGCTCTTAACGTTATTCTTAGTGTGTCCCTTTTTGATGCCAGGGTAGCTTACAGCCGTGGGTCCATCCAAGCCCCTCGCCAGGACCCTCCATTTGGGGGTGTTAGGAAGTAAGGGCAACAGAGGTTTAAGTCAAGTAAGTATGATGGATGCCCGGGAGTAAATATTATTCAGAAGCATAGCATCAGCTGTCTTCCTGTGTCTATACAAAAAGGACATTGCTAAACCATGCAAAGGACTTAAAGGCAAGAGAGAAGCAATATAGGATTATTAGTGCCTGATGGTATTGGGTGTGCCTTGGGAGCACTGCGATGGGAATGCTGAGGGAGGAGCAAGAGCAAACCAATGTTATGCAACATTAAGGAGCAATAACTGCGGTTGAATCTGATCTACATCCTGTCTTTTGTACCCTAGCTGAAAACCCATGTTCTGAGTGGGTTTCCTTTAGATGGTGCACAGTAGATACTGATAATGGTGGATAAACAAGGTTTCATTATTAAAACTCATACAGTCTCCAAATGAGATGGATTATTAAGAAATGAAATGTGTGGGCTGGGAGAGATGGTATAGCAGATAAGCCACTCAACTTACCCAGGTTTCATCCCCAGCACCACACGTGATTCTCCAAACCCTGCCAGGTGTGGTCCAAAAACCAAAAGAAAAAAAAGATACACCCATTTGTAGACAACAATTCCCACTCTCCCCCCCCACACACACACTCCTGTCCTAGACTTCTTTTTTGAGTTCGAGAGATACAGATAATATAAATGCATGTATGTGCATACATGTATGTGTGTATACATGTTATATGTATACCTGTATGTGTATATGTACATTTACACATATGTTTGTTTATATTTGTGTGTGCATGTATTTTGGGGCCATATCCGTCTGTGCTCAGGACTTAACTCCTGCTCCGGCACTCAGAGATCACTCCATTTGGGACTTGGGAAGGCGTATAAAGTGTTGAGGATTGACCCTGGGATGGACTCATGCAAAGCAAGCACCCTACTATCACTCTGTCTCCATATTTTCTCCCCCCAAGACACACACCCTTTTACTGGTGCCAGGAATCAAACCTAGGGCCTCACAAATGCAAGGCAAGTACTCTGTGGTCAAGGCTGGCAACTTGATTTATATTTTCGACTACTTTCTAAATATTCACATCTAGTATATTCTAGGTGCTTGAAACTCATACACAAAACTGAATACTTTGGGGCTGGAGCAATAGCACAGCGGGCCTTGCACGCGGCCGACCCAGGTTCGATTCCCAGCATTCCATATGGCCCCCCAAGTACCACAAGGAGTGATTCCTGAGTGCAAAGCCAGGAGTAACCCCTGAGCATCGCCGGGTGTGACCCAAAAAACAAAAAAAACCTGAATACTTCTTTTTGTTGTATTTTTTTTCTTTTCATTATTTTAAGACCACACTAGGTGATTCATAGGGGTTACTCCTGGCTCTGCACTCAGGAATTACTCCTGGCAGTGCTTGGGGTGCCAAGGATCAAACCAGGGCCAGCTATGTGCAAGGCTCTGTAATGTCTCTACCCTCTGTAATGTCTCCTAGTTCTGAATAATTTATTTTTTTCATGAGATCCCAGCCCTGTTGCTGCTCAGGTAATACTTTAGACTTGGGGGTCACTCCCAGTAGTGCTCAAGGTATCGTATGGTGCTGGGGAATTGAACCTTTGCTTGCAGAGCATGTGCTCCAGTCCTTGGCACCATCTCCCTGATCTGATCCTGCCCCTTAATTGATCTCCACAGTGACCTTTCAGTTATCCCTGCTTTGATGGCTTCTTCCACATTGCAGAACTATTGGCATCTCTCACCTGCAGTCAGCAGTGGCCCCAACCTCTGCCCAGTTCTGTGTGCAAAAGGGCTAGCAGCAGGTGCGCAAGCAGGCAGTTCACAACCTCTGCTTTCACCTTCCCCTCCCCTCTGTCAGAACCTGAGGCCTCTTTCTTGGGCACAGACACATGTCCTCCTGCTTACAGGGGAGGCAGCAGCACCCTTAACGCCTGCCGTAGCTAGCTCATACCCCAGCTTCTCATGGTAAGGTTTTTGGATCAGCTCTGTGTCTGCCCCAGCTGCTGCTGCTCTAGCTGGGCAACTGCCGTGGGAAAGAGTCGTCACTGGATATTTTTGAAAACTCTCCTGGGACAAGGGCCAGTCACTCTGAGGCATTAGGATTTTCCAGGTAACTGCAAGGACAAACAGTGCTGGTCTCAGGGATGGGGCTCTGGTACAGATATAAAGGAGAGAATCTTTTGATGGTCCTTGCTCTGCTTTTACTGCTGACAATTTAAAAAATCCTATTTAAAAATATTACTCTTGGGGGCTGAAGCAGCAGTACAGCAGGTAGGGTGTTTGCTTTGCCCATGACTGACCCACGTTCAATCCCCAGCATCCCATATGTTTCCCCTAGGTGACTCCTGAGTTCAGAGCCAGGAGTATTCCTTGATAACCTCCCTGATCTCTGGGGCCTCCAGGTGTGGCCCCAAAACAAAATGAAAAAATTACTCTTTTGTACTTACTCTTTTATAAGTACGCAAGACCTGTCAAGAGTTTATTCTCTCATTTCAGGTTCAGATATTTACAACTCAGGCAGTGGATCTCGTATGCTCACTCGCCTCTGCTCTCTTTCTTTCCTGAAAACATTCTGACTATCTAGAAACAACAGAATATCCAACTCCTTCAACTCCATTTATTACTCTGTCCTGAAACATGAAATCAACAGTTCTCCAAAGATTTTGCTCCTTGGAGATTAGAGATCAGAATTTAGTTGCTGGACTAGGGTGTGGCTAAGAAACAAAAGATATGTCTTACCTTCATGAGACTTGGGTTTGGCTCCTCGTATTCTGAAAATAATTTAGAATTGCATGGGTTGGGAAGGTCTTGGACGCTTTGCTGGAGGTAGGATGAGGGAACTGTGGGCAGGGCACTTTTTTTTATTCCAGGCACTGCATATGATCCTCGGTCCTGCCAGGAATGATCCCTGAGTACACAGCCAGGAGAAAGTTCTGAGCACTTCTGGGTGCAGTCCAAAAACAACACCACAACAAACTTAATTTTTTTAAGGGGGGGGGATGTGGTTGTTTTTGGTTTGGGGACCACTCATAGCTGTTGTCAAGGCTTAGTCTTTTTTTAAAAAAATCAGTTTGGGCCCAAGCAGTAGTACAGTAGAGTGCTTCGCACATGGCTGACTTGGGTTTTATCCCTGGCATCCCCTACGGTCCCCTGAGAATCACCAGGAGTAACCCCTGAGCATCACAGTGTATGACCCACAAAGAAAAAAAATCTATTTTTTATTGAATCACTATGAACTACAAAGTTCCAAAGCTATTTGTGATTGAGTTTCAGGCATACAAAGTTCCAACACCACTCTCTTCAGTGATCACTACCCATCACCAGTGTCCCCAGTTTCCCTTCCGTCCTCCAGTCTGCCTCTGTGGCAGACACTTTCCCCATCCCCCATTGTCCTCATGTTCCTTTTCCTAACTTATCCCCCTCATCCCTTCCCCAGTGCCAGTCTTCCTACTGAAGACCAGTTCTCTTTCTCTTTGTTTCTATTGCCTTTCGTCATTTGATATTCCCCTATAAGATTTCTTTATATCCCACATGAGAGAAATATTCTGAGTCTGTTCCTCTGCCTCTGATTTCACTCAGCATGATACTCTCTGGGATCCATCCATGTAGCAGCAAATTATATGACTTTATTTCTTTGGCTGAGTAGTATTCCATTGTTTACTATTATGTATGGGATGCTGGCAATCGAACCCAGGTCAGCACATATGAGATAAGTTCCCTACCTGCTGTACTATCATTTTAGCCCCAAGTTTCTTTATCCAGTTACCTGTTTTAGACATTTGGGTTGTTTCCAAATTTTGACTATTGTTAACAGTGCTGCAGTGACCATTGGAGTACAGATGTCTTTTCTGCAGTGTGCTTTTATCCCTTTGGGTATATTCCCAGAAGTAGAATTGCAGGGTCATATTGGAAGCTCATCCAAGTAGGAGAGGAGCGAGCGACCAAAGGAGGAGACCAAAGGAGGAGAGGGCTGGAGCGATAGCACAGTGGTAGGGTGTTCGCCTTATAAGCGGCCAACATGACCGACCCGAGTTCGATTCCTCCGCCCCTCTCGGAGAGCCCAGCAAGCTACCGAGAGTATTTGATATGCCAGACACAGTAACAACAAAGTCTCCAATGGAGACGTTACTGGGCCCGCTCGAGCAAATCGACGATCAACGGGATGGCCTTTACCTTTACCTTATTGGAAGCTCAATTACTAGTTTTTTGAGGAATGTCCATATTGTCTTCCAAAAAGGCTAGACCACTTGCCATTCCCACCAGCAGTGAATGTAGGTTCCTTTATCACCACATCCTAGCTAGCACGGTTGTTGTTCTTTATGATAAGTGCCAGTCTTTCTGGTTTGGGATGACAGTCTTTCGATGTTTAAGTTGCATTTCTCTGATGATTATGTGGGGCTTATGGGACCACCATACGTGGTGCCAGGAATTAAACTGTAGTCGGTTGCATACAAAGCAAGCACCCTATCTGCTATATTATTTGGCCTGGAAAAAATAATCTATTTTAATTGCTGTTGAGATTGCTTAGTGGTAGAGTTTGTGCCTTGCACATGTAAGGCCTCGGGCCCAATCTCTGGCAATGCAAAAAACCAACAATGAAACAATCGAAAACTTGATTGCTAGTGATATAGTATGTAGTAGACAGAAGTATTGCTTGGGGGTTCTGTCAAATAAAGCTGGAAAAGGAAAAAGTTTTGACACTGTTTTGGTTTTTTTGTTGTTGTTGTCATTTGTAATTGGGCCACATCCAGTGATATTCAGGCCCCTTTAGCAGTCTGATTGAGTATAATTAACATAAGAGAAGCAATATATGTGTAGGTATATAATTAGTAATTTTGACATATTTGTATACTCACGAAATTATCACTAATATATTTCTGTTTAATATCATGTATTTTCCCAATTCAATGCTCACTCGCTCTCCCTCCCTCCCTCTCTCTATATATGGGGGGGGGGGGGGTGTGTGTGTTGTTTACAGCGGCACTCTGGGTCTACTTCTGGCTCTGTGCCCATGGGTCACTCCTGGCAATGCTTGAGGGACCATATGTGCATGCTGGGAGCAATCAGGGCAAGCGACTTAACATCTGTCTCTCGGGCCCCTGCTCTGTATTCTTGTATCCTATTTTTTTTAAGAGTTTTCATTGATCTTTGAGACTTTTACAACATTAATTCTCCTCTTCCTCCTTGGGCCACTGATACACGGGTTTTTATTTTAAATCACTTGAATGTTTTCTAAGCTAACTGCATCCAGACCAACACCTTAGTCTCCACTCAAATGCATGCTCCTGGTATCAATCCCTCCTAGAAAAATTTTTTTAGTAATGTTTTATCACACACAGTAAAATCTCGCCCTCGGGCCTCTATCCACACTGAACTTATTTATGACTTCTCGGTCCACAGGCACACTGCGTTCTGGCCCTGTGAAACTATTTTAAATTCCCCCAATGTGCCGTCCTCTGGTCCTTTGCTTTTATACACTGTTAGCGGTCTTTCAAATTCAGTGTGGACCAGACTGCTGAGAACCCTTTCCTGAGACTGCTTTCAGACAGAATTGCCGAAGCTCTGTGCCCTTCCCCACAAATCACTCAGGTCTTAATGTCATCAATTTTTTTTTTAATTTATTTTGAATACCCAACCCTCCACCAGTGACTATTTCCCACCACCACAGATCCCAGTATCCCTCCCATCCCCCATTCCCCCCATTCCACCCTGCCTCTGTGGCAGGGCATTCCCTTTTGTTCTCTCTCTCCTGTTGGGTGTTGTGGTTTGTAAAAGAGTTTAAACCTGATTTTCAGGGAGAAACGTTGGATGATTTACTTTCCATTGATCACTTTGTATCATCAAACTTTTTGCCACTCTTACATTCCCCCCTGTTTTTCTGTATGTATTTCTTTCTTTGCTTTCTGACAGTTTGTGCTGATATCTGTGTCTAGTGGGAATTTTTTTTTTTTTTTGGTACAGATCGCTTTGGAATGCTGCCATTGGATGAGCCCACTGTTCTTGTTAGTGAATTCCTAGAGCGTTTTCAAAGCCTTTGTCATTTGGATCTTCAGCTTCCTTTCCTGAGGCCTGAGGACTTAAAGGCTCTGGTAAGTATGCTAAGAGGACTCTGATCCACAAAGAACCACCTGTGTCTCAGCTGACCTTTTAGTAAATGAGTTCCATTTAAACTTGGAGCTTTAAATATTTTCTTCACAATGATGTTAACGTTCTTTGCTTCATTCCTCATCCACACTTCCCCCTGTAATGTCAGTTTAGATGTGATTCTTTTATTTTGTTTGGTTTTGGTTTTGAGCCATACCTTGTGGTGCTCAGGGCTTACTCTGCATTCAGGAGCCTCTCAGTGCTCAGGGAACCAAATGAGATGCCAGAGACTAAACACAGGTCAGCCATATACCAGACAAATGCCCTACCACTCTACTGACTCTCTAGCTCTTAAATGTGATTCTTAAAGCACCATAAAACAAATTTTATCTTTCTGGTTTGGGGCTACATCTGCCAGTGCTCCCTGCTCTCTGCATAGGGCTTGCTCTCAGTGATGCTCTTACTCTCAAGGGACCATACATAGTGCCAGGGATCAAACCCGGGCCTCTGCATGCAAATCATTTTCTCAGCCCTTTGAGTCATCTTTCTGCCCATTGATCTCTTTTTTTTTTTTTTTGCTTTTTTGGGTCACACCCGGCGATGCTCGGGGGTTACTCCTGGCTCTTGCACTCAGGAATTACTCCTGGCACTGCTCGGGGGACCGTACAGGATGCTGGGAATCGAACCCGGGTCACCCCATGTTGGCTGCGTGCAAGGCAAACGCCCTACCCACTGTGCTATCGCTCCAGCCCCCATTGATTTTTAACTCACTCTGTTACACTGTATAAAAAGAAAGTACTTAAATGTGACTTTGTATTTTTTTCCTTCTATTTTTTTTTAATTGAATCACTGTGAGAACAGTTATAAAGCTTTCAGGTTTAAGTCTCAGTCATACAACGATGGGCTGGAGCAATAGCATAGCAGGTAGCCCACCTGCACAGCAGAGCCTTGCAAGCTCCCCGTGGCATATTCGATATGCCAAAAACAGTAATAACAAGTCTCACAATGGCGACGTTACTGGTGCCTGCTCGAGCAAATCAATGAACAGTGGAAGGACAGTGCTATAGTGCATACAATGATCAAACACCCATCCCTTCACCAGTGCACATTTTCCACCACCAAGAACCCCAGTATACCCCCCCTTCCCAACCCTTCCCCTGCCATTGTGGCAGATGATTTCCACTTTACTCTCTCTCTACTTTGATTACATTCAGTTTTTCGACAGAAACCTACCATTATTATTTGGAATTTTCACCCAACATTCAGACCTACTGAGAAGGCATCATTAGATAATTTGTTTTCTATTGCTGATAATGAAGAGCATATGATGTTGCGCAGCTGTAACAGGGGCCGAGCAATTCTGGATTTCCCATATTTTAGTAATTAAGTCCGGAGAGATATCTGCCAGAAGCCACTGGGTTCCGAAACTAGTTTGTATGCCTCTGGGATCATGGCCATTCAGGAGCCAGAGGAGCCATTCGTGGGCGGCAACTCTGGGTCTTGTTGGGGTGGGGAGAAGGGGGGTGGGGAGAAGGGCCGATTCCAGCCCCCATCCTTTGAGGTCCCCTCGTGTCTCGCCACTGCAAGCACGTACCTCTCAGTCCTGTAAGCTCTGAAAGATGTCTGTCACCATGTCACTGAGGGGAAGAAGGCGGAAGGGACAATGTCCTCCTGCCCCCCTCCCCGGGGCGGCATAGGCCATAGCTTAAATCACAGTCCAGAAGCATTTCTGCCAGAAGCTGCTGGGTTCCGAGATTGGTTTGTGTGCCTCTGGGATCATGGCCATTCAGGAGCCGGAGGAGCCGTTCGTGGGCAGCTCGGGGTCTCGTCAGGGTGGAGAGAAGGTTCAGTTCCAGCCCCCATCCCGTGAGGTCCCGTGTGTCTCGTCACTACAGGCTCGTACCTCTCAATGACTTTGCATAATTTTTATTGTATACCATTTTAGAAAGAGAGTGCTGGAGAACGTATAAACTCCTTCCTTTTGATTACAAGTTTTAAAATGCTTGTAGTTGAAACCAAAACAGAAGCCCTGTCCTACCTTCTCTTTAGCATTTTGACATCCTTCCAGAATCTGCCCACGTTTCTAGATGCCAGTGACTACTGGTAAAAGTTCCTGTTTCTGTTTTGTACAGTTTATGCTTGTTCCATAAGAATACTAATATGGTATAAACCTATTTCACTTATGAAGTGGTGATCTCAGTTAAAATATGGATTTCTTTTTGGTTTGGGGGCCACACCTGGTAGTGCATAGGGATTATTCCTGGTTCTGCACTCAGGAATTACTCCTGGTGGTCTTAGGAGACCATATGGGATACTAGGAATTGAACCCAGGTTAGCTTATGCAAGTCAAACTCCCTATATGATGTAGTATCTCTTGAGTCCCTAAAACATGAATTTCTTGTGTCTGAGGAGTGTTAGGATCTGTCTCCATTCTCCCTCCCTCAGCACAGCTTGTTCATCCATACTAACCTTACTGACTAGTAACCTTTCCAAACTAGTTCTTGGGCTAGAGTGATAGTACGGCAGGTAGGGCATTTTCCTTGCATGTGTCCGACCCGGCTTTGATCCCCGGAATTCCATATGGTCCCTCAAGTACCGCCAGGAGTAATTCCTGAATGCAGAGACAGGGGTAACCCCTGAGCATCGCAGGTGTGACACACACACACACACACACACAAAAAAAACTAGTTCTCCTTCAAGATCTTCTTGGGTTTTTTTCTCTCTGATATTTCTGATCCTAACTCTTATTCACATGCTTATTCATTTTCATCAAAAAGTATAGCTGGGGGCTAGAGCGATAGCACAACGGGTATGGCATTTGCATGCGGCAAACCCAGGTTAGTTTCCCACTACCCCATATGGTCCTTCAAGCACTGCTCAGGAGTAATTCCTGAGTACATGAGCCAGGAGTAACCCCTATGCGTTGCCGGGTATGACCCAAAAAAGAAAGGGGGGGAAAAAAGGTATAACTATTGGGATAGAGCAGTAGTATAATGGATTAGGTGCTTACCTTGCACATCTTGCACACAGCCATCCAGGTTTGATCCATGGCATCCTATATGGACCTGAGAACCACCAGGAATAAGCCCTGAGCACTACTGGGTATGGCCCAAAACCAAAAAATACAAGTAGGGCCAGAGAGATAGTACAGAGTTAAAGCAAATTCCTTGCACATGGCCAAGCTGATTCTGTCCTTGGCACTGCACATGGTCCCCAAAGCACCGCTAGAGTGGTCCATAAGCACAGAGCCAGGAGTAAGGCTTGAGCATCTCTAGATGCAGCCAAAAACCAAAATGGGCCTGAAACTAGTACAGTGGCTAGAGTGTATGCTAGGCACCACCTGATCCTCAGAACATCACTGTGCAACCCTAAAGCACCAGCCACGGGCCCAGTTAGGAGCTGGAGAGATAGGACAGTGATTAGGATGTTTGCCTTAAACGCGTGGTCAACCCGGGTTTGATCCCTGCCACCACATATGGTCCCCCAAGCCTCACCAGAAGTAAACCCTAAGTACAGCCAGGTGTGACCCAAAACCCTAAAGGACAGGGCTGAAGAGATAATACAAATGGGTTCGATCCTTGGTATACCAAACGCTGCCAGGAGTGATTTCTGAGTGTAGAGCCAAGAGTAACCCCTGAGCATCCCGAATTTGGTGGTGGGAAGGTGGTGGGATTGGTGTCTGAATATTAAGTGTAATCAACTATTGTGAACTTATAAAATAATTTTTAAAAAATTAAAAAAAAAAAGAGTAAACCCTGACATTGCCAGGTTGGCCCCAAAACAAACAAAAAAGAACCATTGCTACAGTCAGGACTTCCTTGTATGGTGGGGTCAAAAAATTTTTGTTGTTGTGTAATAAAAACTACTTTGTTTCACTCAAAAGTAGCAGTATCTAAATTTTTCAGAGAAACTTAAGTGCTTTGATATATCTGTACTTTGAAAAGGAATATTTATTGTTCATTTCATTGCCCTCTGGGTACTCTGAGAGGAAATCTTTACTGTATGGTACAGAGGCTTTTATTTTGTTTCATTCCACTGAAAGCTGTTAGAGATTTCAGCACCAAACTATTAATTTTTAATTTTTGGCCCCTGTTACAAGTGTTTCCCTATCTCTAGCCAAGGCATTTTCCTTCACCATAATAGTTATTATTCTTAGAAGAAAAATAAAAGCTCTGATGAGTTCTATTGTTCTGTCAAAAACAGGATCTAGAGCTCAGGACTAGGGAACCCCAGGTCCATCCTGTCCCCGCACACTACTGATGTGACCTCTGGAACCAGGTGTGCCCCCCTCCCCCCCAATACAAAGCAAGTTCTGGGTCAGAGATGTGGTAGAGCCCATGTCTTGAATGTTTGAGGCCCTGCATTTGATCTCTAGATCTGCTTCCTCGCCAAAAAGAAAAATAGAAAAAGAAGACGTGGATTCATGGTCTGGCCAGAATATAAACAGCATCTGATCTGCATTATTTAGGTTTGAAGTTTACGGTTTTGAGGAGGTATCTACATTTGGCAAGCTGAAAATCAGTTAGTACTGAGAAGAGATTTGGCAGTTGGGTACTTTGCGTGCAGCTTCTGAGCTGGTGGAAAAGGATGATCTAGAAAGCTCTTTTGATTCCTTTGCTCTGTACATACGAGAGATTAGTCTTTTCTAGACAGGAAACTGTGTTCACATTTGCCATTTACTTGGGGGCATGAGACAGGGGTCCACTCCCAGCCATGCTCAGGGGCTGCTCCCAGAAGTGCTAGATGTTGAACCCAGGGCCAGTCATGTGCACGGCTTGCTCTTTATCATCTCTTCGGCCCCACGCATTTCTTCAGTTACTCTTGCCTTGTACCGTGTTGGCAACCCGGTGGTTGAAACTTTTTGGTCTTCTGTTTCGGTTCCTCTGTAGTGTTTGACAGAAGACAAAATCAGTCTCCTCCTGAATCTGCTAGAAGATGAGCTTTATCACCAGACAGACGAGAGAAAAACTGCACCCAAACTTGGCTCGGACATCCAAGTTCACATCACTGCCTGTGTCCTCGCTCTGTGTGGCTGGGCATGTAGGTGAGCCTGTGATTTGCCCAGCGATCAGGTCTTTGAACATCAGTCACAAAAGGGGCTGGGAGCTCGTGGTATGTTCCATGCGAGAGTTGAAGAGAGACTAAGCAGGACTGAGGGGGCTGGGAAGCAGGGCGGGGGTGGGGAACGCACCAAGAATCAGCAGCAAAACCAGGATTAGAATCCAGGTATTCTTGGCACACCTGAGTTAGGTCTTTGGCTGTCACTCTGCAGCTGGGAGTTTGTATTCCTGCAGATAGTGATGTGCCTTTCTATTTTCAGAAAGAGACATTTCGGTTTAATTGATTTAAAAAAAAAAAACTATCAAAAGAAACACCAGCTGGCAGGCTCGAGGCCCCTGTTGGGGTTTTTCAACCCAGCTGCTTGGTTTGGTATGGACTCCCTGTGAGACTGAAGACTGTCAGACCCTCCCTTGCTTGACTTTAGAGACCGTCCATGCATAGGTTAAGGAATCTCGTTCTTTCAAAGGTAGAAATTGGGGACTGGGGAAATAGTCCAGCAGGGAAATAGTTCATGCACCCAACCCAGGCTCAATCTCTGGCATCCTATATGGTTCCCTGAGCACCACCAGGAATGGTTGTTTGCTTGTTGTTTATTTATTTATTTGTGCTTTTTGGGTCACATCCAGCAATGCACAGGGGTTACTCCTGGCTCTGCACTCAGGAATTACTCCTGGTGGTGCTTGGGGGACCATATGGGATGCTGGGAATCAAACCAGAGTCGGCTGCATGCAAGGCAAATGCCCTACCTGCTGTGCTATCGTTCCAGCCCCCAGGAGTGGTTTCTGAGTGCAGAGACAGGAATAAACCCTGAGCATTGCTTGTTGTGGCCCAAAAACAACAATTTTTTTTAAAAAATAAAAGTTAGAAATTGGGCTAGAACGAATGATAGTACAGTAGGTAGGGCGTTTGCCTTTACCTGGCAAACCCAGGTTTGATCCCTGACATCTGATATGATCCCCCAAGTACCACCTGGAGTAATTCCTGAGTGCAGAGCCAGGAGTAAGCCCTGAGTATCACTGGGTCAGGCCCAAATACCATAAATCAGGGGTGGAGTGATAATACAGCATGTAGGACATTTTGTAGGACATTTGCCTTCACAGGGCCATCCCAAGTTTGGTCCCCGCCATCCTATGTAGTCACCCAAGCACAGCCAGGAGTAATTCCTGAGTTCAGAGCCAGGAGTAAGCCCGGAGCATCACCAGGTGTGCTCCCCCCCCTCAAAAAAATTTTTTTTTATTTTAAAAAAAGAAAAGGTGACCTTTGAACAAACTCACTGGCCTTTCTCTTCCCCCCTAGCCCTTGCTCGGAGCCCATGCAGCTCTCCCTCATCACGTGCTCCCAGTGCATGAGGAAGGTAGGGCTCTGGTTCTTCCAGCAGATTGAGTCATCTGTGTCTGAGCTGGATACCTCTCTCAGCATCACCAGCTCCCCCATCCCAGGTCCTGATGGCCGCCCCGAGCGCTTCCCTCTGGTGCCTGAGTCTCCTCGGAGGATGATGACTCGGAGCCAGGATGCCACGTTTTCCCCGGGCTCAGAGCAGGTAATATACACCCAGCTGGCTCATCTGAGCAGAACTTTGCTAAATGGTATCCTTGGCAACAGTGATGTCGGTGGCATAGTTGGACATGAATGGGGGTAGATCTTATTCTAACCTTGTTAATCAGAAAACAGCATGTGGTTGGACTGGCACCAACTTGGGTTTGATTCTCAGCATCCCATATGGTCCCCTGAGCATCGCCAGGAGTGATGCCTGAGAGCAGAGCCAGGAGTAACCTCCCTGAGCATTGCCAGTGTGGCCTCCTCAAAAATAAGGCAAAGCAAACAGCAAGTGGTGTTTTCATTCACTGGCTGCAGTAGAGAAACTCAGTGCCTTGTTTTGTGTAGAAATGTCATCTTCTTTGAGGCGTATAATTAGGACAGTACTTGCATTTGTTCTCCTCTTCTTCTGGAAATGCTTCTTAACAGAATCACGCGCTTTCATCCCTGAGCTGACCTCCACTATCTCTCCTTTCCTTCAGGCTGAAAGGAGCCCTGGGCCCATCATCTCCCGAACTCGGAGCTGGGACTCTTCCAGTCCTGTGGATCGTCCTGACCCTGAGGCCACTAGCCCCACCCCCCGAACCCGCCCGGTAACCCGAAGCATGGGGACAGGAGACTCGGGCCTGGAGATGCCGTCCAGCCCTCTGCGCAAAGCCAAGCGCCCACGCCTCTGCTCTTCCAGTAGTTCGGTGGGTCTGCCTGCTGGGTGTGGCTCCAGGCCGCAGGAAACACCACCGCAAGTTTCAGTTTGTGTTTCTTTAGAATGGGCTCTACAGAGGAAAGAAAGATTCCAGGCTCACTGCATGTGTCTGCGTGGGCACTGGCAGAGTGTGCCTAACAGAAAGGGAACCAAGGGTATAGCTCCAAGGCAGAGCACAGCCCTCATATGAACGAGGTCCTAGGTGCGTTCCCCAGAACCAATAAAACAAAGTAAGATGGGGCGCTGGAGAAAGCTTGGAATAGGGACGCATGAAAGGACCTGAGTTGGAGGGGTTGTGATAGTACAGCAGGTAGGGCGTTTGTCTTGCATGTGGCCGACCCAGGTTCGATTCCCAGCATCCCATGTGGTCCCCTGAGCACCGCCAGGAGTAATTTCTGAGTGCATGAGCCAGGAGTAACCCCTGTGCATTGCCAGGTGTGATCCAAAAAGCAAAAAAAAAAAAAAAAAGTGAGTTGGAGCCCCCTTTACATTGGGAACCTTCGCAGCAGTGCAGTTCTGGCCCTTACACTGGGCGACCCAGCCTGCTTGACTGAGTATCGTAGGCGCAGGGCTCCTTAAGTACTATTTGGGATCCTGTCATCATCACCACCCCCATCCCCAGACAAAACCAAAAGGTTAAATAGCAAAGTCGAAAGGCCAGCATTCAGAGGAGAATTCCATGCTGGAAGTATGCAGCCAGGAGATTCGGGGTGGACAGCTATTAGAGTCCCCAGAACTCACCAGCCAGCTGCCCTTCAGTCACGCGCTTTCTCTCCCTCCTTCCACAGGACACCTCGTCCCGCGGCTTCTTTGATCCCACCTCTCAGCACCGGGACTGGTGCCCCTGGGTGAACAGCACTCTTGGCGAGGAAGCCAGAGAAAACGGTGTTTCAGAGGCGGACGGCAGCCCCGCAGCCGAGCCGGGCTGGCGGCTGGTCCTGCAGGTGCTCCTGGCCCACAAGCAGGCTAACCAGCCTGAAGAGACTGAGTCCACGGTGAGCCGTGCAGGCCGGGCCGAGGCGGGTGTGGGAGGAGCTGCGGTGGGAGTCCTGGGCCGGCGCTGCTCGTCGAGTCACGGCAGACACAGTCTGGCATCATTGTTACCAGCAGGTGTGGAGCAGGTAGCACCTTGCTAATATGCAGCCGGCCATTAGAGTCCAATAAACGCTCTCTGTGCAGCCGGAAAGGAAAGCAAGAACCAGAGGGGCAGGGGTGGCTGCGCGGCGGGGTTGCGGAATAGCAACTGTCTGCTGCTGGCTCCGGCGGGAGCTCTGGTTCTGTACTCTGGGCCCAACTCCTCACTCTGGTTGGCCCATGGGCCCCAGCTCTGGACACTGATCCTCAGCCATCGCAGAGCTGACCACTGCTGCTGATACCATCGGTGGCCAGAGGATGTGTCAGGGGTCAGCACCTGGGGAAAGAAAGCAGGGCACACACTGGGCAGGGCGGAACCCTGAGAAGTCAGTTCTTTCTCCGGAGCTTGCTCATTCCCAGCTTTGCTCTGTAGCCTGCCTGGTATAAATATGGCCCTTCCTGTCCCCTCTAAGGATAGGGGACACATAACTCAGCAGCAGACAGTGGAGAGACGTCTCCCCAGAGTCAGGGCTTGTGCAGGATCACAGAATCCCACTGCAGATGATGCTGAGAGCCTGAGAATGCCCATGTGCATCCCCAATAAATGTGTAGTGAACGTTTGCTCATTATATTGCTGGGGGGAATGCATTTTTCCAATTAAAATTAAAATTAGGGCCAGAAAGAGTAGTACAGGAAGGAAGGCAGTTTGCCTTGCCTATGGTCGACCACGGTCTCCTGACCATGGACTCCTGAGCTAAGAGCCAAGAATAGCTTCTCAGCACCATGGGGTTTGGCCCAGACTGACACCCTCCCCCATCAAAAGCAAACAAAAAAACAAACACCTTTGGAAACTATGTTAAGCTCTCTGAAGTAGAAGGTTTCATGGATTCTTCAAACTGGAGAGATTAGTCAGTGTTTCCCAGAGTGGACAGATGATGCCGTCCCCTGGAAGGCTCTGGTGGTAGTCTCCGATGTTCTGTTTATTTATTTAAGGTAGATTTGCGGGGTGGCGGCTAGGGGCGTGGGGAGGGTGTTGCTAAGTAAATTTTCTCCTGAAAAGGGATGTCGTTTAGGAACCTGGCTTCATTCTGTCTTTTTGTTTTGTTTGACTTTGCTCATGGCATCCTCTTGGCTCTGAGTTCAGGGATCACTCCCCGCAGTGCTCAGGGGACCATATGGAGTGCTAGGGATCAAACTCAGATCTGTCACCCCTCATCCCACCCCCTTATGGCAAGCACCCCACCTGCTGTACTGTCACCTCAGCCCTGATCTTTCCTCACCAGTGAGCCATGAAACAGTGCGCTGCCCCAGAAGACAACAAGCCCACCCCACAGGGCTTGGTTTAGCATGGGAGAAGCTGATATCATCGGCCTCCCAGTGCCAGGACGTTCAAGGTTCACCTTCCCACAGCTGTTCTCACTGAACCGAAGCTTCACAGGGTTGTGGGGAGGACCATCACGTTCAGAACAGTTTTAGTCTATTTTCCAAACCACGAATCTTTCCAGTGGTGTCATTATACATGGACTAAATTTCCCTTGGTCACTAATTAAGACCCAGCCTTTTCCCTGATCACTAAAGGACAAGAAGCCAGTGAGAAAGTCATCTTTGGCCCCACACTAGAGGTCACTTCGTAGGTTCTTTTACTGGTGGTGTCCACTCCCTTAAGGACACCCCAGGCTCTCTGTTTGGATGTTCAGACAGAAGCAAGGGTCCTAGCCCCCCGAGAACGTCTCTGGCAAAGTGCCTTGTCACCCTGGAACCCTCAGTCTCAGACCACATCATGTGCAAGCTCAAATGACCGCAGAATCCTTCCTATTCTTAGTTCTGCCAGCTGGAACGTAAGCCGAGAAGGCCAGGCTCAGAATTTAAACTCTTTTGGGTCAGTTAATTTTTATTCCTTGGCCTTGGGGTGTACTGTTCACCCCCACCGAAGCATCCCATCAGGGCGAGTCCTCATTCTGAAGAAATGGCAAGCCTAGAGCCAGGTCATCCTTGTGGATGAGAAAGATGTAAAACGTTCACTGCTCCACGGAGTGGCCCACTTGTCTTAACAGAGATTAGGAGGGGTCCTTGTAGGGAGGGCTCGAGGAGGGATCCAGGCACTCCGAGAGTGCTCACTGGAATCGCACAGTAGATGCGCCATAACTTCTTTTGTTGTCTGGCTTTAGGTGTCTGTTATGTGGTGCTCATTAGGAAATAGTTTTACTCAATCCCAGACAGACCTTTGTCATTGTGAGAGAAAGCCGAAACTTGTTTAATCTCTGATCCTGATTTTCGCCCTCTCTCTCTCCCCACAGAGTCTGTCAGAGAAATCCAGGAAGGTTTTTCGAATATTCCGGCAGTGGGAAACTTTAAGCTCATCATGAAGCCAGTTGTGACCATTTCTGGAGAGAAGCAGAATAAGTGACTGTGAAGGATAAAGTCTGAATCCCGTTTGATCAGCCAGTGCCAAGTTTCCTTCGTTCTGGTTTAATCCTAAGGAGTTCCTGCTTTGGTAACGGCAAGTGGTCCGGTCTGCATCTACCAGGAAACCACTGTTTCCTCGCGGCCGGGGACAGGGCAAAGCTGCTTCAGCTCCACGTGTCAGAGGAGCGTGGAATTAAAACTTGATGGAAGACCAAGGACTTGAGCACTTTCATTGTTTGTAGTGTCGAGCTGTGTTGCAAATTCTTTGTGTCCCAGGAATATGACAGTATATGTATTAAAATATTTGTTAAGATTCTTAGGGCTGGAGAACTGTTTTTCTTGTCTTCCGGGCTGACCCAGGAGAGGTATAGTAGTTGGGGCATATGCCTGGCATGCACCAGTACCAGGATTGATTCCCACCACCAGGTGGTCCCTGAGAATGGCTGAGTGCAGCCCTGGGAACCCCCAGCACCACTGGAGTGGCCAGGATGTCTCTGACACTGCAGGGCCAGAGCAGCTTTGCATACTTTACCCTTGCTAGAGACTCGCTGGAAGGGCCCCACCCCAGAATTTCAAGCTCTGCTTGGGTGACCCTTCTCTCTACCACCACCCCCTCACCACCACCCAAAAAAAACAAACAAAAACAAACAAAAAAGGCAGACTGAACTTCTGTGGAAGAGTCCACAAAGTCAGATTTGTTTTCAGTTTGTCTGCAAAGTCTAAAAATCTTTCATGATGATTTCCCAGCCAGAGGCAGAGGCAGGCTACTTTCCTGGGCTCTCGGGGTGGGGTGTGGGGATTATCCCAAACAGAGGGAGCCGCCAAACATTTCCTCTCATCCCCAGTTGGTGTGTAACAGCAATAACAGACTAAGGGGGGAAGACGCTTCATGTGGCTGCGAAGACACAGCCCATGAGAGGGGCTCCCTGAAGCAACTTGACATCACGCGGCAACAGTCTTCTCTTGACCTGCTCCCACAGCTCCAGACTGTGACCAGGAAGACTGCAAAGTTCTCCTCTGAAATGTCTCACTTCATTCCTGTGGTTGGCCCTTCTTAGAACTCAATTTGACTTGGGCAACACCCAGTGGTGTTTGAGTTACGACTCCCAGTTGGTTTCTGGGACGGGAGGGAGGCAGTCTCTGCAGTGTTTAGGGGCTAGACTGTGCTGAGACTCCAACCCGGACCTCCTGCATGCAGAGCATGGGCTCCAGCCCCTTCAGTCTTCTGTTTGCCCCCGCAACTCTCTTGTTTTATACTACAGTATTTTTTTTTAACTTGGGGGGCCACACCTGGCAATATTCAAGGCTTATTTTTATCAGTCTCCAGGGTCCTCTTGAAGGTTGGCTAATGGGCAGCTCAGTATTGTTTACAGAAGAGAGGTTTCAAGGCTCCTGGAAGGGAGGACACTTGCCTTGCATGGGTTCAAACCCAGGCACCCCATTATGCCCCTCCACGCCCCACCAGAAGTAATCCCTGAGCTCAGAGCCAGGAGTAGTCCTGAGCACTGCCAGGCCACTGTCACTGTCACTGTCCTCCCGTTGTTCATCTATTTGCTCGAGCGGGCCCAGTAACGTCTCCGTTGTGAGACTTGTTACTGTGTTTGGCATATCGAATACATCACAGGGAGCTTGCCAGGCTTTGCTGTGCAGGCAAGATACTCTCAGTAGCTTGCCGGGCTCTCCAAGAGGGGCAGAGGAATCAAACTCAGGTCAGCCGTGTCGGCCATGTGCAAAGCAAATGTCCTACCCACTGTGCTATCACTCCAGCCCTAAGCACTGCCAGGTATAGCCCAAAAACCAAAAGAGAGAAACTTCCAGCCCAAAGCAGATTTGCTGGGGAATTGAGGACCTGGTGACATAGAAATGTGCCCTCCAGGGGCCAGGGATGAGGCTCAAGTGGCAGAGCACAAGCACTGCATGGACACCACAGGCCCCAGCTCCAGCCCAGACAGGTCTTTTCTCTAGAAATTCAGTCTCTACGTGACAGGAGGAGGAGGATTCATTCTCTAGAAATTCATAGTCTCTACGTCACAGGAGGAGGAGGATTCACAGGGTTGTTCGGATGGACTCCAAGCCCATTTTAGGTTAATGTAATATGAGGACTTAAATCTTTTTTTTAAACTATATTTGGTGGTAGTGGGGCTTGGGTCATACCAGCAGTGCTGAGGGCTTACTCCTGGCTCTGTGCTCAGGGATCATTCCTGGCAGGGCTCAGGGAACCATATGTGATACTTAGGATAGGACCAGGGTCTGTCTTATTATTGTTATTTTATTTTATTTATTTATTTTTGCTTTTTCGGTCACACCCGGCGATGCACAGGGGTTACTCCTGGCTCTGCACTAAGGAATTACTCCTGGTGGTGCTTGGGGGACCATATGGGATGCTGGGAATCGAATCTGGGTCGACCACATGCAAGGCAAACGCCCTACCTGCTGTGCTATCTCTCCAGCCCCTTATTATTATTTTCAATGTACATACTTTAACTGTGACACAGAGACACAAAGTGAGCTTATTGGGGAAACAGAAGTGACAGAAATAGACTTGCTTGGAGCAGAGTTGCCGCAGATAATCTGCACTGTAGCACTATTCTCCCATTGTTCATTGATTTACTCGAGTGGGCACCAGTAACATCTCCATTGTGAGACTTGTTACTGTTTTTGGCATATCGAATACTCCACGAGAAGCTTGCCAGGCTCTGCCGTGCGGGCAGGATACTCTCAGTAGCTTGCCGGGCTCTCGGAGAGGGAAGGAGGAATCAAACCCGGGTCAGCCCAGTGGCAGCGTGCAAGGCAAACGCCCTACCCGCTGTGCTATCGCTCCAGCCCCACAGATAATCAATTTGTGAAAAACAATCCTATCTCAAGAGAGAAAATTGCTGCTCCTGAGGAAGATACTGGTATAATTCTGGGAGAAAAGCCACATTTCTGAGGGCATTCTGAACATGAGTGGGGATTAGGGGGTGTCACTGAGGAATTGTGAGGGGCTCTTAAAGCTTTCGGCAGATAAGTTTGTGGAGCTCAGTCTTGAAGCAGTTAATCTTGTTAAAGGGAAACTCTCTGACTCCTGGCGGCATTCTATTTTTTGTTGTTTTGAGGGTCACACTTAGCTATGTTCAGGATTTACTCCTGATTCTGCTCATGGTCATTCTTGGCAGGGGAACCAATTGTGGTGCCAGGGATCAAACTTGGGTTGACCCCGTGCAAGGCAAGTACCCTATCCAATGTTCTATCACTCAAACTTACATTTATTGTTTTTGCCTCAGGGCCACATCCAGCAGTACTTAGGGCTTCCTTCTGGTTCTGTGCAAGGGATCACTCAGGGGACTGCAAACGGCACCGGGGATCGAACGTCAGTTGGCCATGTGCAAGGCCAGCACCCTACCTGCTGCCATCTCACTCCAGCTCCAGAAGAATTCTTTGCTCTGGTGATGGGACAGTGAGAAGCAGAGTTCCGGGGGCATACCACCCCTCTCTGATGCTATTACAGTCCTGCACCGCTGCTGAGAAGGAGCCTCAGAAAGGAATGTCTGCGGGCCAGAGAGATAGCTCAGTGGGTAGGGATCTTACCTCACATGCGGCCAACCCAGGTTAGATCCCCGACTCCCCTGTTGATCCCCCCCTGGACCCCCCAAAAACACACACAGTCCACCAGGAGTGATTCCTAAGTGCAGAGCCAGAAGTAAATCTTAAATGTTGCTGGGTATGGTGCAGAAAGCAAAACTAAAGCAAAAAACGAGGCTGGAATGATAGCACAGCGGGTAAGGCGTTTGCCTTGCACACAGTCCGACCCGGGTTCGATTCCCAGCATCCCATATGGTCCCCCGGGCATGGCCAGGAGTAATTCCTGAGTGCATGAACAAGGAGTAACCCCTGTGCATCGCTGGGTGTGACCCAAAAAGCAAAAAAATTAAAAAAAAAAAAAAAAAAAACTAAAACCGAAAAGAAAGGACCTTTGGCAGAACTCCAGACGGGAGCCCGGAGAGAGGGGAGCATGCAGGACTCCTTCCTACCACACGCCTGCGTTTCTTCTCACGCTGGGCTCCACGCCTGCGGTTTCTCTACTGGAAACCAGAGCTCAGGCCACGCATTACCAACCTGGCACCCTTTCCTACCCGCACACACAGCCCCAGCTTTCTCTTGGCTGTTTCTGAGTCTCCTGAGCTGTAGTTCATGTCTCAGACTCTGGAAGATCCATGGACTGGCTGTGGCCTATGGGCCCATGGGCATCTGTGTACAGCATCAGGTCAGCCCCGCCAGCAGCAACTGCAGAAGGACGTGTCCTTCCATCCCATGTCCGCTGTGCTCACTCCGGCAGCAGCAAAGGCCTCCAGCCCCCTGCACATGTCTGGGGCCAGAGCCACCCGACTTTGTGGGTGACCCTCAATGCTGCCTGTGTGAGACTCGGAGCCTCAGGCGCAGTGATGCGCTCAGGAGAGCCATGTGATGGCTGTAGACCCCACACATGCTCACAGTGCAGACAGGCAGCCCTGGGTAGGGTTGGGAGTGCCCTGGAGATGCCCCCGGCCACCCCAAGGTCCCGTGGCACAGCCTGAACTAGGAAAGAAGCAATCTCTCTGCCCTGGCCACTTTCCCTAGGATCTGGGGTGTCAGCAGGGGGAGAAGGGGCTTGAAGCTGTCCTTGGCGTCTTGCGGGCCCTTCAGAAACATGTGAGCACGATTCTGCTGTGCTAGGGTTGACCTGGGTTCTCCAGGGCCACATTCACATGTTGGGGACCTTGAGGATCAACCCAGTGATGCTCAGAGGGTTGAGGAGTGCCAGAACCGAACCATGCCGGGGTCAGTCACATATGGGAGAGCCTTCACTCCTGTACTAGCTCTCCGACCTCATAAAGGCATTTTTCTTTCGGTTTTTTAGGGGTTTTTTTTATTGAATCACTGTGAGATAGACCCTTACGCTTTCTTTTTCTGGCTTTTTTGGGTCACACCAAGTGATGCTTAGGGGTTACTCCTGGCTCTACACTCAGGAATTACTCCTGACAGTGCTCATGGGACCCTATGGGATGCCAGGGATGGAACCCAGGTCGGCCATGTGCAAGACAATGTACTACCGCTGTAATGTCAAGATGCTGTGATATCCTACCGCTGTACTTTCGTTCCGGGCCCAAAGGCATTTTTCTCTATTCTCTTCTGTGCTGCTGTCCAGAGAAGTGAAGTCCGTTGAGTGAGGATTCCTCCCTCACTAGGGAGCCAGGGCTGGTGTGTGTGTGTGTGTGGGGGGGGATTCTTTGTTTCCTGTGCTGTCAGCAAATCTATGAAGGTAGACGGGGATTGGGTGGAGGAGGGCTGAGTGGCTC